ACACACACACACACACACACACACCCAGACACCCAGACACCCAGACACCCAGACACCCAGACACCCAGACACCCAGACACCCAAACACCCAGACACACCCAGACACACCCAGACATACACACGTGCGCGCGCACGCACCCGCTCGCACGCATACGCGCGCACCGCGCACGCACGAACTCACGCAAACGTTCGCGGGCAAAGTAGATTATACGAGCGGATAAATATATATTGATGTTTCATCAGACGAGTGGATGAGTTTAGAGAGATTTTTCGATCACACCAGCAGATAAACGTGGATCGGGCTCCAAGTAGATCCGAGTAGTAGATCCGATAAGTATAGACGTATGATTTTCGATTGTCAGAACAGATAATCATGGATTTGTTTTAGCGTCGGAAGCAATTATCGACTGTGGCCTCGCGGCTGTGTTTTGCAATTTCCAAAAATATTTTCATTCGATTTAGTAAAAGAAAATACATCAATTCCTTCGTCAGCAAACGAGCGACAAATCATATTCCAGGCTTAAGGGCAGTAATTCGTGGCAATTCCGGCCCAGGGAACATCCCGGGAGCGATATGCTAGCCGCTTTAAAAAAACAATAACGACGCTTATGGAGATTTCAGCTGCGCCTGTAATCCGACAGCGCTATTACCGCAAAAGGAAACGGCCCATAAGCCCCCATGCCGATATGCTGGCATGCGTCATGTGTGTGTGTGTATGTCACAGAATAGACGACGCCAGCTAAGAGGCTTGCGCCTCAAGTCCCGGATGGATTCTATCGCAGCGTTTTACCTATAAATCGGCGATAATTTGACATTACAAAACGACGCGCACGTTTTTTAAGAACAAGCCGGATAACTGTCAGGAGACCGTTATAAACACATAACTCACACAGACCCCGTTGAAATGATGACACAGGAATAGCCGTACTAATAGCAGGGGCAACAGCAATACTAAAAACATCACCAACAACATGATGGTGATGATGATGATGATGATGATGATGATGATGATGATGATGATGATGATCAGCGGCGGCGGCGGCGGCGGCGGCGGTGGTGGTGGTGGTGGATCACGGAATCGCGGACGGTGTTATCAGCAAGCGCAACGGAAGGTTGGAAAGGAAGTAGAGCAACAAGTTCGCAGGAAGGTCCATATACAGTTTTAATTACGAAACCATACTACAGCCTCGATCGTCTTACCCTGGCAAGTTTCTCGCCGTCCTCCTTACGAATAAGTCTCTCCGACGTGACGTCACACTTGTTGCCTATCAACATGATGACGACGTCCTCTTGTGCGTATTCGTTAATCTCCGACAACCACGCCTGAAACAGAGGTGCCACCATGTAGCGTCGCGGAAAGATCGCGAAATGCATAATACGGTGCAGTAATGGAAACACATCGTGTAAACTATATAAATGCTAATGATCAGATGGGTCTTATATTCGTACGGAATCGAGCGGGCATGTTAAGTCAAGGTAAAAAGAGGGGGGGGGTAAAATGAGAAGTAAGATTGGAAGAAAGAGAAAAAGAAAAGTTGTGGTGAATAGAAAGGAATGACGAGATTGGTTGAGGTAAAGTAGAGATGAGGAGGGAGGGGAGAGATGAGGAGGGAGGGAAGAGGTGAGGAGAGAGGAAAGAGGTGAGGAGGAAGGGGAGAGATGAGGAGGGAGGGAAGAAGTGAGGAGGGAGGGAAGAGGTGAATAGGGAGGGGATAGATTAGAAAGAAGAAAGATGAGGAGGGAGGAAAGAGGTGAGGAGAGATGAGGAGGGAGGGAAGAGGTGAGGAGAGAGGGAAGAGGTGAGGAGGGAGGAAAGAGGTGAGGAGGGAGGGAATAAGTGAGGAGGGAGAAGATAGATTAGAAGGAAGAGAGGTGAGGAGGGAGGGAAGAGGTGAAGAGGGAGGGAAGAGATGAGAAGGGAGGGAAGAGGTGAGGAGGGAGGGAAGAGATGAGGAAGGAGGGAAGAAGTGAGAAGGGGGGAAGAGGTGAGGAGGAAGTGAAGAGGTGAGGAGGGAGGGAAGAGATGAGGAAGGAGGGAAGAAGTGAGAAGGGGGGGAAGAGGTGAGGAGGAAGTGAAGAGGTGAGGAGGGAGGGAAGAGATGAGGAAGGAGGGAAGAGGTGAGGAGGGGGGAAGAGGTGAGGAGGAAGGGAAGAGGTGAGGAGGGAGGGAAGAGGTGAGGAGGGAGGGGAGAGATTAGAAGAAAGAGAGATACGGAGGGAGGGAAGAGGTGAGGAGGGAGGGAAGAGATGAGGAAGGAGGAAAGAGGTGAGGAGGGAAGGAAGACGTGAGGAGGGAAAAGGGAGGTGATGAAGGTCGAGAGAGATGAAGAGGGAAGCTCAAGATGAGGAGATAGGAGACAGATGAGGAGAGAGCGGAGGACTGTGATTACGTACAGCTGTAATACATTTCGCAGGAGTCGTGTAAGAGGAGAAAAATAGCGGTAGCTCTTGAAGCGCGTTGTCACACCATCCTGAATCTGTGCCCATAATGCCTTTACAATAGCTCCTCGCATCAGCGTGTCGCGTCGTTTCGAAAAACCAATCATTTCACGTTCGCGTGTTTATTCCTGTTTTCTGCGCCAACATATATCCACTAGCGTTGATAGCGAGAAAGGTGGCGATTCGCGTAGTAGGCGAAGAAGCAGCTACCATTTTATCGAGTTCACTGTCTTCGTATATATAATCACAAACATTTCAATATACATTTCAATATATTTTTATACCACCATATCTGCATCTTTATCGTAGATGATTGCGTTAAATGTATTATGCCCTAAGCTATTTAATTATAATGTCATGATAATTATGCGAAAGTATAATAAGGTAATTTATTCAAAAGTATTATATTATTATGAGCCAATGTACATAAAAGTATTACATATGTTTGTGATAAGGTATATAGACCATTATCAAACATAAAGATTAATTTGTTAAAATGTATTATACCATAGCGTATTAATAACTGCATTATACGGGTACTGTAATATGATGCCCCCCCCCCAGAGACGAGCACTTGATGATAATAACCAGCGACATACAGAACATTACACAAATAGCTTTAATCACTAAGCAGGGTTATATTTCCCGGAAAACAGGCGCTAAGCGATTTCGCCGCATTAACGCAAACACGCGAGCGAAACAAGCCGTTAACGACTTTTTCTGCTGCCGGCCATGTCGGATAATGCAGCGGTTTTAACTTTTCTACTAGATGTCGCGCAGGTCGCGTGCGATGTAGCGGAAGTTTTTAGTAACGCGAGCGGTAACACTTTAATGGTAGTTTCCGCGCAGCTGCAATCACACGCAATTTCTATACCTCGACATATATATCAGCAAGAGTAGATAATATAACGTTATATATAGTTATATTATCTACTATAATAGTATAATATAATATAATATAATATATAGTTATATTATCTACTCTTGATATCAGTTATGCGCCCTGCTTATTGTTGAAGCGTTGACGTCTCATTTGAATTTCCCCATTTGAGTGCGTATAAATTAAGGAGGTAGGCATGCTAAACTTGCAATAACATCTGTAATATTTGGTCAATCCTCAAACATTTGGTATGGCTTTGCTCATTTACAGCCATGCACAATTCTAGACTAATTACACCCACAACATACGACCATCAGAAGCCAAGAATTCAAAATGGCCACCACAAACCATCAGCGAAGCCATAGATTGCCAGTCTATTACACATGTATATTTCAAATTTCTCTATATGAAACTTTTACATGTTAGTTGGGTCTTAGCGCACAATTATGTAGTAATTATATCTCTAAAATTCACTGTTCTACTATGTTCTAATATAAATACATTATACATGAGATATCATTTATACATTTACACATCTCACCTTCAATTCAGGTGGTAATCATCTGATATAGAAAGTTTACCTGAACTGCAACTATCAGCTTATATCGTAAAACATTCATGCTTACACGCTGCCTGGCACCATATAGAAGACAGTATAACTTTTTGCCGGCCTCAATCAAATCATCTACTCTTGTATCACGATCACCATTAATGTATAATCATAGATTCGCATGCTTCATCAATACATTGAGAGCTGCTAAATTTCCCTCGTGGTAAGGATAAGAGACTGTGCCACATCCTTTCGAAGCATGCAGAGGTAAGAGCTGCAGACACTTGTCATCATGTTTATTTGCAGACGCATTGATATCGATCACTTTGCCATCAAACTTCTTCATTGTAATTTGAGCTGATAGCTTGTTCTTCCAGTAGAAGTACATAAGCAACACAAATCGATCTGTGTCATCGCAGATGATCTGGATATTCCTCTTGCTTTGCTGTCTAATCATAATATCTAGATGCCACGACAATTCGACCCCCCCCCCCGCAGCGTGCGCGCGAACTACAGGCGATGGTGCCGGGGAGCGAAATTTTTTTCCCCACGAGAGTTCCGGACCCCAGCCAATCAGCGCACTCCATTCACTCGACTACCTCGAAGCAACAATGCAAAATTTATACAACCTAATCCTAACCCTAAACCTAACCCTAACCCTAACACTAACTATAATACAACCAGGTCCGTCTTATATACGCACCATATATTACAAAACACTATCTGTGGTGGGTCCGGATTTCTCGTGGGAAAAAAAATTTCGCTGCCGGGGAAACCTCGAATTAAACCGTAGACGCTGCCCGTCAGTTCACCCTAGAAGCCACGACAATTCGACTCTCCGGGCAGCGTACGTGCGAGCTACAGGCGAGTGGTGCCGGGGAAATGGTGCATGAGTGTTTCATGAGCAGAACACTACCGGGTATTTGAGGATTGACTAAATATCACAGAAGTTATTGCAAGTTTAGCATGCCTATCCCTTTAATTTATACGCACTCAGATGGGAAAATATACAATCTGCATTTTTTGTGATAAAAAATTTCCCAATGGTGCCAAAGTAGCACCCGATGGATTCCGGTGCAGGATAGTCTAAACATCAGGAAACCACAAAAAAAACCTTGTATATACCCGATTGCAACGTTCAGTCAAATTTCTCTACTCGGCAACTCGATTAGTATAGTGGGCATTGCGAACATACAATGACTCATCAGTTGTCTGCTAAGAAAAGCGCCGACCCACGGTGTTCTCCGATCATATGCAGCAATAACCACGGAAAGTGCATCAGTGGGGATGATATTTGCCACATTTTAATTATTTAAAAGAACTATATATGAGGAGAAATAATTATTCTGTGAATTACTTCAGTGCATCGATATCATTAATTATACTGTTGTGCACACGACCCTTAACCTGCTTAAAAGATGGCTTGTTCTAGCAAGATTTTCTGGAAGCTACCTATAGCAACAAGCTCATAAATAAAAATGTGATCATATATAGCGATTTACTTGCGTTATACACTCAAGTACCTCTAGTTACGATGAACATTCTACAATGTACTGTTGTTATCAGCGGGTTGATAACCTCCAATAATATATAACACGGCGACTAGCATCGCGATTGGGACATATTTTTAACGTGGCAAGCATAGCGAGTGTCTTACTCACAGGCACTTGAAGCGTTTCAATAAAATATAATGCTAACTAAATACGAAATCTATTTACTACCAAATTCTTAATGCTTCTATACTCTCTTTCACCTATTATTGCCGACAGTTTCCTGTCAATCCCGTCCAAATCCTACGTCCAACCATACGCTGCCGGCGCCATTGCTTTCGCGGCGCGACTGTTTCACGCTTACACTAATATATATAGTGTAAGCTATAATAGTGTAACACTATATATAGTGTAACACTATATATATTAGTGTAAGCGTGCAACAGTCGCGCCGCGAAAGCAATGGCGCCGGCAGCGTGCCAGCGTATGGTTGGACGTAGGATTTGGACGGAATTTACAGGAAACTGTCGGCAATAATAGGTGAAAGAGAGTATATAAAAAAAAATTAAGAATTTGGTAGTAAATAGATTTCGTATTTAGTTAGCATTATATTTTATTGAAACGCTTCAAGTGCCTGTGGTCTTACTGTATATGCGCGCGAGTTTTTCACGCTCCATACACGAAGCTCGGATATTGCTCTGAGCAACGCCATAGCTACCAGTTATTGTGTCGCTTGCGTTCACCGCACTTCTTCCCCCTTTCTACTGCGAAAATGCAAAAAGCTGATAATTTAGTTGGCGAGGCAATAAGCAACGACAGCGAGTTGAGCCAACCGTCGCCAGCGATGCGAGCTGCAATGTTCTCCGGCGCGAAAATATATATGAAATCGGTTAGGAAAATGTTCGCGCTACGCCAACAGCGAGCGCCTTTCTGCCGCTATGAACTTGAATCCCTTGACATTGGG